AATGGAGAACGTGAGGAGCATTTCAATCCACAAAAAATAGTTACAATGACAAAGGAAAAACAATTTCCATAGCAATCCCATTAGGATTATTTTCACCACTCAGTTCTTTTGTTTAAGGATCAATTTGGCTTTAAAGAAACATTTCTTTGGGCAGTCTTCAGCAAAATAGAAAAAACACCAGATGGACTCACTTTCTCTTTTCACGTCCTTCCTTCCGGAGCGTCCCGACTTCATCAGCCTAGAGGCTGCCTGTTCACTGCGGGCTTGAACACTTCCCTTGGGTCTATCAGGGATTTTGTGATATCCCTGAGATCAGCAAGGCTTTGTCTTTCTGATCACCATCTCTACGGGATGGTTTAGGTCTCATTGGACCCCCTCCCCAGCGGCAAAAGTGTCAATGGCAGTCTCAGAGTATCGAGAACGCACGTTGTAACATCGCAATGAAGCAGCTCCTCAACACACACAAAGATTCTGATGAGTGACTCCTGGTGACTTTGTGGACACATCATTTAGTGTTCTTGCCATCAATAAGAAAGTGGCTGCCATTATTTTCTCCCTGAATTTTTTTTAAACATCAGTGTCTAGTTTGGATCCCTCTGATTATCTAATTGTTTCCCATTCAGATGTTAACTAGAGCTAATACCGTTTAGCTTCCAATCCCATAATAGGGTCAGTTTTGTCATTTGTTGAAACTTCTGTCAGTCAAGCCATGGTGAAAAGCAGAACAGAGCAACCCGTACAAAAATATGCGTAGTGGCATGAATAGAAAGGTGGTAAAGACAATGGGATAGGAAATACACAATTAAAATTAAGAAATAATGGTTCATTTTAGTCTCTTCTAGAAATCTGTAATCAGTTTACAAAAAACTCCTGGTTTTCCATCCCATTACTTTCTTCAACAAACTTCTAAAACATGCGTCTAACTTCTAAATTACTATTTTGATTCAATCTTTCTTCCAGAGACCAATAGCCTTCCTGCACACTAATCGCAGATGCAAATATAAAAACAAAACACTGTAATTTTGTTTGACTTTTTGAAAATTGCCAAATATTACTGGGTTTTGGTTTTATGATTTAAAATTTCATAGTTTCAGGTAAGATAATAAAAATCTGGTGAGTTTTCCCGAGATTTTGGTTATTATAATTTCAGAATTGGGGACCCTATTGTATGATGGGGACATAGATATGCCAGATACTTCAAATACTTCTTTGATTCATGCTTCATGTTAAGTCTTCTTAAGTTGGTTTCCAACACCATGTCCCTGAGTACAGGTTCCCCGCAGGACTGTGTCTGGAGTCCACTACTGTTCACCTTGATGACCCACAATCAGAGATGGATTGCTACCGATTCGGCCGAACCACTAGTGGAATTCAGGCCTGGGTTGCAGAACGCCACGCCCCTGAACCAGTTCCCTCACTGCCGCATGGGCATCACCATTTTGAAATTAAGTGACTCTGCATGCACAGTTCACTGTAAATTGTTCTGCACATGCGCGAAGGACAATTTACATTGAACAGCACACACGCACATTGTGCACCAGTAACGCCGGCAGCAACCCACCCATGCCCACGACTGCTGTGGCATATCTGCTATGAATCATATTGTGAAGTATGCAGATGACATGGCAGTGGTGGGCAGTCCGGGACAATGAAGATGCTTATAGGGAAGAGGTGATAGCTCTGATGGACTGATGCAATAAAAGTAACCTGGTTCTAAATGTTAATAAAACAAAGGTGATTGTAGATTTTAGAAAGAGCCAGCATAGTCCAGTGTTTTTCAACCTTTTTTGTGCAAAGGCACACTTTTTTCATGAAAAAAATCACGAGGCACACCACCATTAGAAAATGTTTAAAAAATTTAACTCTGTGCCTATATTGACTATATATAAAGTGTTTTTCCCACGGCACACCTTATACTATGTCACGGCACACTAGTGTGCCGCGGCACAGTGGTTGAAAAACACTGGCATAGTCATACTCCACTTAGTATCAAGGATGCAGCTGTAGAGGTGATCAACAGTATTAAGTATCTGGGGATGCAGATAACTTACAATATGAACTGGTCTTTCCAGACGTCATCCTTAGTGAAGCGTGCAAACCAGTCTCTGCATTTCCTGCATCGGATGAGAACACATCTTTCTCCTTCTGTCCTGGCCACTTTTTACAAAGGCACAATTGAGAGTCTTTTAACAAACTGCATCACTGTTTGGTTTGGTGGCAGCAGTGCCTCAGGTAGAAAGTCCATTCAGAGAGTGGTAAAGACAGCGAGATTATAGGAACAGGAAATTTCAAAATATTTCTAGCAGGACTTCCAGATTCTATAACAGCTTTGTTCCCTATGCCATCCGTCTGGTAAACTCGCAAGCTTCGTTTTACTTACCATGTCCATGTATACATCTGAACTAGACTGTGTTGTTTCT